GAGGCCACTGCCTCACCTTTGCAGATGTTTTCTGTCTTGTCCCAAGCTATGAATCTTGTTTCTTTACTGCCCCTGCCAAATCTCTACTGGGCCTCTCTCCCTTATGCTGCCCCAGCCTGCCACCCTGGGCCCTCGCCTGGAAGCACAGACAGCAACTGCGCTAGAGCCTTGCTTTCCTCTCAGCTGGTTGTCTCGGGAAGAGGGCGTTGGCTCGGGGGGACGGGTATATCTTGTTTCTCGCTTATGTCACTTCATCCCAGTTACCTACTGGTTATGGGACTTGGCTTTCGTTTCCCTCTCGTCTCCATGACAGAGCCCACAACTCCAGTGAAGGCCAAGGAGGTGCCCAGGAAGAAGAAGAAACCCTATGGAAAGAAGAGTGAGTGATGTTTGATTAGTGCCCTCCCGCTCGCTCGCAGGCTGGGCCCAGTTAGAGGAACTCTGTCCATGGCCCATCAGAGCAGGAGAGAGAGGCCTTGTCTTGCTGAGGATGCCCTCGGTCAGCTGTGGGTTTGACAACACAGCTTCATCCTTCTTAACTGCCCCCATTGCCTAAGAGAGCAGAGAGCTGTGTGTGTGGGAAGGATCTGTTTTGCACTCTGTTTTCTGTTGGCTGAGGTATAGATGGCGCTTGCTTCCAGGCGTGAGGTTGTGCTGCTTTCCCCACTGTGTCCATGGTCGGAAGGAGTTTGTTCGCTGCAGCTGGAGGGTAGCTGGAGAGCAACCCTGCCTGCTTTGTGCTGAGGGAAAGAAGGCCTTAAGATGGCTGAAGAGGCCAGTAGTGGGGCTGGACCATGTTACTGTTTCATCGTGTTGTTGTTGTCGTCATTGTTGCAGTAGCTGTGGCAAATCATGTGTAGAAAGGCAAGAAATTCCTTCCTGGGGGGTGGAGAGGAAAGGCCATCTAAAGAATCTAAAGACGTTCAACCTAAATAAAAACGTCAGCTAAAAATAAAAATATTAATGCTACAGAGTCCATGCCTTGGAGCCACTGTGCCCATTGCCTAGGACTAGACCCAGACAGGTAAGCAAAGCTGAATCTAGACTGATTCCAACAGCACCTGCTCCTCGGAAGTTAAGCATGTGCTCAAGTGCCTTGCCTTTAATGAAGGAGAACACGGAGGAGCATATTTTGAGATAATGACTGTAGAGTTTTTCTCCAGTAGACCATTTCTGTCGAGTAACCAGTTGGCAGCTAATGACCGTGTAGCTTGTTGGTCAGTTGTGCTGGTCCCTGGCCTGTGGTTTCTCAGTGGAGCAGGGTTGCTTTCCAGGAGAAAAGAAACACACTTTTCCCCATGCTCTGTTATCTCTTTGTTAAGGAAAAAAGTTACCTGCCAAAACCCGCAACATCAAGCAGACTGTCAAGAAGCCATCCGCCCCGAAGACGAAACGAGAAGCAAAAGCTGCCAGCAAGGCTTTGCCAGAGCCAGCACCTGATGAGAGTAAGGGAGTGAGCTACTCTACCCAGCAGCCACATGCAACTCTCGTGCGTACGCCCTGTGTGCCACCAGCCCTTCTGACACCTGTGCTGCCTCTTGGTCATTAAGTCACGGGTGCCCTGAGGCAGGGAAAGCCAGTACATGGCAAATGTCCTTCCCCACTCCTCCAGAGACAGAGTGGAAGAAAGCCTTTGCCAGCTTTCCCTGGGAAGTTTTGCCTCCTGAGGAGGTTTGGTGATACCGATACAGCTTGGTTATGTTGATACTGCTGATGCCTGCTGAGGGCCTGGCTGCCCTACTGAGGAGTCTGGTGGTGTGAGGTCAGTTAGGGAGGATAGTCAAGACAGATGTGTCAGAAGTGTGCTGTCACATCCCAGTCCCCATAAGGGCTGTCACTGCATGTGAACACAGCCTGTTGTGCTGAGCAGCAAGAGATGTGGTGACCAGAAGAGCATCTGGGTCACCTGCCAAAGCTAGTGGGTGTTGGAGAAGAGGGTGGGTGAGGTGCTTTGTGCAGCTGGGGATGGACCCTCATGAAGGTCCCCATTGCTCACAAAGGTTTAATTTCCCTTGTGCAGACCCAGGCAGGTAAAGAATGGACCATACTGGCTTTTCCTCCCTCAACCGTAGGAGAAGTTGTTCTTGGGAGCAGGCAGCTGAATGCTGCCGTGGTTTAGTCCCGTCCTGATTGCTGCTGTGACCACAGATAGATTTGTGCCAGGAAGACAGAGCTGCCTGTGGGGAGAGACCCTCAAGTGGGCTGGAAACCTGGGGCATTTTGAGTATCTGCATGAACAGAGGTGGTTCTGGGGTGCTGCAGGTAGAGCAAGGAAGCATGGGTTGATTTTACTTTTTTATTTTTCCTTTTCTCTTTCTGTCTCTTGCTAGTCATTGCTGTGCAGGTAAAAGAAGAAACCATTGACCCCTCGATACTAGAGTTTGGAGCCACAGAGCTTCCTGTTCCTGTCAGCAGCATAAAGCAGGAGGTCACAGAGTGATCCTGGAGTATCCCCCAGCTGCCCACAGCAGCCTGTCCTTCACCTTGTGGCTCTTTGGGGAAGGTACTGGCAAAGGGAAGCAGAAGACTAAAAGAGCCTTCCCTTTTTGAGGCAGACCACCCTGCAACATCACAACTCTGCTTTCCTAATGTGCAAGAAAATTTCCCCGAGACTTTTAATTTTAAACCCTGGGAAATGGACTCCAGAAAGACCGCAGGCGTGCTTGAGGAGCATGACCAGGGTGGCTGCTGGGGCTGTGTGTGCCTGGCTTTGAAGGCACCTTTCCTAGCAGGAGCTCCCAACATGGAAAGAGGCTGCCAGAGCACAAAGGGGGAGTTTGGGTTCTTGGCCATGGCTGGAGGTGGCAAGCTGCAGTCTGAGATGATGTGTGCAGGTCACATGTGCCAGGAAATCAGCTGCTCTCGTAGGACGTTGGTGCTGTGTTCCCTGGTCTAGGTCCTGCAACCCCTGAGAGTCAGGACAGGAAGACTGGAAATAGGTGGAGAGAAGCGGGGCGGGGGGTGATGATGCCTCTTGAAGGAGTGAGACACCTTTTGAGTGTCATCGTTTCTTGCTTTTGAACCCAGAACTGCAGAGGACATGATGCACAGTTTGAATTTTTAATTTTTTTAGCAGTCTACTGTAAATTTGATCTACAATCTGTACCCTAAAGGCCTGTGAATTAAACTTGAGGCAGAGGCCAAAGGCTTGTGTATTGTTTTCTGGGTCACCAAAATACCAGGGTTAGCCAAGATGTGGAGGAGAAGAGGGCTGTACGTGGGTTGTTACAAGTACAGAGTGTTTTGGGTGTGTTTTTGAGGCATGCAATGGGGTTTTTCTGTGTACTCGCTGCTGTCTACTTGCCAGTTTGGCGTAAGGGCTGAACATCACGAGAATGTATTAGGTAACTTAAGGCTGGGGATGCCATTTCCAGTTTTAGGGCAAAACCGTAACATGCCTCTTTTTCACTAGACCTGCCATCAAGGTTGAGGACAGAAATTGGAAAGGTCAGTATGGCAACAGTGACGAAAAACAGTTTTACATCTCCCGTTCCTGTGAATTTTCTGCAGGAGAGGAAGTCCCCTGCCCGTCGGTGCTGCTGTGGGGTGCAGCTGGCTATAGGGCAAGTGCCTTGTCAGACCCTACAGGGAAATGGTGGCTGCCCAGGATGCCACCCTGGACACAAAATGGCTGCCTTGGCCATGCTCCCCTCAAGCTTCCAGGTGAGAGCTTGTGATGCCAAAATACTTCCTGCTTTGCACAGTGGTTCATGAGAGGGGGAAAAAAAAAAAAGTTGGCAACCTAACCATCTAGAAAACCCTGGGTAGAGACTGGGAGTAATTAACACAGTCGTCTTCGTTTGCCTCTTTAGAAGGGATAAGGAGCCTTTAAATGGAGAGGAAAGAAAAGGCCATGGGGGAGCAGTGAAATACAAATGGAAGAAGCGTGGAGGGTCTGTGTCAAACCAGGCGCTAGAGCTGTGCTGTCTCAGCCCATCCCTAACTGACCTGTGGAGGGCCCCGGGCTCCTGGGGAAACCATGATGGGGGTGAGTGTGGCAGGGGGTGTGGGATTTTTATCAAAGGAGTGTAATGGGGCTTCCCTGCCCACCTGGCTGTGCCTGCTTGCTGGTCCTGGCGGCTCTGCCTACCACCCAGCTTGCAATAGATGTCTTAATGTGGGAGGATCTCATCTCGGGACAAAGCCATTGCGTTTCTCTCTTCCTCTCCCTCTCGGGCTGCTGCCTTTCCCCAGCCTTCTCAAACAGCTGGGCTTGTAGGGCCGCCTGTCTTTATAGGATGGTAATTTCCAAACACCTCTGACTTTCTTCCTGTTTTTTTTTTGCTGGAACGGTTCTATGCCCCACATGGTCATTTAATGGCTAGTAGTGTTTACCTTTTAAAGCCTTCCCAATTCGAACAAATTTCTGACATTAAAAAGAAGAATCACCTTGTGTTCCCCCTGTGGTTGGGGATGTGATCCCAACCTGGGATGCTGTGGAGAAAAGGTTGAGCACATTGCTTATGAATGGGATCACAGATCAAATTTTGCAGGAAATATAGAAAGGTCTTTGTTCTGCTTATGCTTTAATTCTGAGGAGCTGCTTGGGAATTCAGGCAATGTTTTCACGGATGATAATTTTAAAGTTTTCTGCTCTAAGACTCAAGCCAGTGCAGGATCTTATGTTGGTGCTGTTTAATCGTTTCTGAAGCTGTGAAAGCACAGCGCTCTTAAAAACAAACTTGTGGATTCCAGCTTTTCCACATGGCTGGAGGGAGCCTGGGGAAGAAAAAGCAAGTATTTGGCTTTGTTGTTTGAGTCATCAAAGCATGCTGCAAACACTACAGAAGCTTTTTGCACTAGTTCTTTCCACAGTAGTGTGCCTCTGTGTCCTGCAAAAACAACCCCTGCATTTTTGGCAAATCAGCATTGCTCTGGTGGTGCCAGGTTCTCTCCTTTGCACCTTGTGCAATATCCATGTCACCATGGTGGAGACAAGTGTAGAAAAACTGCTCTCCCCAGACTGTAGGTACAGCGTCGTTGCGTCCTGCATGCCTCTCCTAAGCTTTGTTCTTGAAGCCTCTGGCTGGTGGTTTTCCAGATCTCTTTTTCTTGCTGGGTTTGCTTGCAGCCTTGGTTTCATCAGGACTGGCTCCCTGACCCTCGCCTTGGCCCCAGCCAGGGCAAGTTTGGAAAGTGGTGGAAAGTTTCACCTTCAGCCCCCGGGCTTCTGCAGGGGACCCACAGGTGGCCCCTACACGGAGGTTGAGTTTGTCGATCCACCTGGAAATGTGGCAGGAGATCAGGGAAAGGAACAGGACGAAGTGAAAGGTGAAACGCCATGCCTGTGAGTGGGCACAGGTGGCTTCAAAGCCAGGCCAGGTTGCTCAGGGCCTCACTTGGGTGGCCTCTGAATATCTGCCCACCCCAGCTTGTGGCTGCTTTCCCTAACATCTCGCACATAGGCACGTGCTCCATCTCACCACCAGGGGGGAAGATGTGAAACGGCCAGCATATCATGGGAGAAGACCCAAAATGGCCAGTGTTCCATAGGCTCATGCCTCTGGCGCAGCAGGGTCTGGCTGTCCTCAGGTTGTCCCCTGGGGCTGTGCCCCCCTCATGACACTCACCTGCGCAGGGGAAGGAGCTGGCAGTCACAGTGGAAAGGCACATCCCTCAGGTTGAGGATCTCCAGCCCTGTGAAGTTGCTCATGTCGGGGATGTTGCTCATTTTGTTGCTTTCCAGGTAGAGGCTTCTCATCTTGGGACCAAGCCCAGCAAAGGCACCAGGGGAAATCTGTAACGAAGCAAGAGTGAGTCGGGGGGGGGGCCTCATGGAGCCAGGGGAGCAAATCTCTGCCACTGCACTACTAATGAGCCTGAGGGGCTGAGAGCTCCTGTCCTGAACAGCCTGAAAGAGCTGTTTTAAACAGCAGTACATATGCTCAGGGACTGAATTAACTCAACTCAACTCAGTTTTGGTCATGTTTCGGGACTCACTAGACCCTGCTCAGTCTTCCTGGAAAGAAGGTGACATGAAGGAGGTCTTAGCGTGTTCCCTGGGCACTGTCAAAGGTGGATGGTCCTTATAAGAGTGCTGCTAACACCACTTTCTTTAGAGGATGGAGGAATGCAGGGTAATAGCAGTGAAAAGTAAGTAAGTCCCACTGAACAATTTGTAGTAAGAGCAGGAGAAGTATGGCCAGGGCTGGGGAAAGGGGTTAGCTGGGGGAAGGGTCTGGGCCCCACTGAAACCGTGTGTCTTTAAGGACAAGGAGGAGTAAGGCTGTCCTGGGGGAGCCCGGCGATAGGTTGGAGTGAGACAACACTCCAGCAAAGCCCAAGGAAGCCTCTTTCTCCTGGCCAGGCTCTGGAACATCTCCTGAAGCCTTGGGAGCTCAGAGACAGTCATTCAGCTGCCCCTGTGGGGGCAACCAGCCCTGAGCACTGGAAGGAGTTGGGACCTATGGCTGTGTCCTGCAGTGCCCCTGCCCCTCGGAGGTTCCCCAACCACTTTGCACCCGCTCCAGGCCCATGTTGTCCAGGTACAGGTGCTGCAGGCTGGAGGCAACTGGCAGGAAGGCGCTGTCTTCCAAGCGCTTGATGGGGTTTTGTGACAGCTTCAGCTCCCTCAGGACAGGCAGGCCCCAGAGGGCTGCTGTGGGCACCTCTGCCAGGTGATTTCCCACCAGGTGCAGCTTCTCCAGCATCTTGGCAGGAGCCAGGGCAGCTGGGGCGATGCACCCAATGGCGTTCCCCCCAAGGTAGAGCCAGCGCAGCCCTTGGGCCCCGGCCAAGTCGCCATCCGCCAGCTCCCGGATGGCATTGTCCTGCAGGTGGAGGGAGATGAGGTTGGGCAGGAGCCGGAAGGCACCTGCGGGCAGGTGGGTGAAGGCGTTGCGGTCCAGGTCGAGGTAGGCCAGCTGTGGGGCCCCCTCGAAGGCAGCGGCCGCCAAGGTGGAGAGGTGGTTGTTGGT